TCCCAAATTGAGGTGACACGCACCCACTGATTGCACGATAATGTAATACAAAAAACGCTATTTACAAAATGTTATTAAATGCAGCCGAATGAACAGCTTAATGTTCGGTTCTGTGTGTTATCGTTTCCAAACCGAATTGCTGCTGGAGTTTGCTGTCATGGCGCAAATAAAGGACCGACACTTTCATGCTATGTGGTCGTGAGTACCGCTGCAATAATAGGCGATGTGAAATGTTTCGAAATATCGCCCATGCATTTGAAAGACCATAGAATATTGAAATTCAAAACCTGCCTCGCTGAAATAAAAGCAGTTTGCTGGCGGATCATTTCAGACCGTTTAGTCTGATTCAGGAAATTACATGATAGCAGTAAAGTGGCTTCTGGTTAGACGCGATTGTCCAGTCAAGAGCTAGGAGTTCGCCTTTTGAAAAGACCAGCGAGCTCTAGGAAGTCAGTGTTCTGCTGGTTGTTTGAATAACATAAGTGCGTGTAATGATTCAGTTAACTTCACATCAGCACTCGTTTTGCGAAGTGCCGAATATGCGTATGTAACTGATGCAGGGCTTCAGGCTCGACAGCTGCAGAAGCTACAGATAGATCGCCAATTCATTCTTCAACAGGTTTACATGTGCGCTTTTTGGCGTATGTAAACCAAAATTCTCAGACGAACAATCAACCAGAAAATAGTAGAATATATGCGGTCGAAAAGGGTGCTCTAAGGTGTGAAAAAATGCATCAACTAATCGACGGCGCATCGTCACCACATCCATGAGACTGTTTTCAAGACACGCAAAGCAATCAGACGTGGATGCTGCAATAACAGATCTCGGATGAGGTTCCATTTCCTCAATGATTTGAAGATTTTTCTTTACATGAAAATAACAATACGCCATTGTCACAACTGATAGTTCTGCTAGCAACTATACGAAGCAGTACCACGTTGTAGCCACATCTAACCATGAGCTAGAAATAAAGCGTTTTAGATTATGTAGCTCAAGACTTCCTGGTTGACCCTTTCATAGTTCTCCTGAGTGGCCATGATCAATTCGATTTACTCATTCGTACGTTAAAATGTGGCCCTGCCATGATGAATTCATTCTACTTTTCCAATAACAAGCGGTTGCATATTCACCATGCCGCATGCTGTATGTGGTCCAATTATTGTCGATCGGTTCCATTAATCGGATAACAATGCCGCATGGTATCGATACAGCGCTTTAGTAGGAAGACAGATTACCGCTTAGTCATACATACCATGACAAAGTGGAATTCTATGGCGGAACAAGGCGGCATTATAACTGAACTTTCAGCGCTACCTGAATCTTAGAGTACCAGTTCGATGATTCTCTCTCAGGTATCCACAAAACTATTGATTCCTACTACTATTCCTTCTCGAGTTTACAGAAGTGACGGGGTGCTTGTGGACAACTACGTGACGCATCCAATACAGATTTTCTGACGCATTAGACTTACCAAGGTATCAGCGTGCATATTAAATTGTTTCTTATTACAGTATGTTAGCTGTTCGCACACTTTAGTACTTCGAATAGCGAATGACTCCTCCCAGACAGATGTAAAGCCGGGGGAATTTAAGCAAGCCATTATTCCGTGATATTTGGGCACCTGTATTGCTAGATGCATCTCGAATTATTTTGTCCGATAGAACCATCTGGCGCTCATCTCTAACAATGTTTCAGAAACTGTTACCATTTATGTGCTACCGCATAAATATCATAAGCAGTCCGAATATATGGTAGTTATTCATACTTGTTGCTGTCAGCCTTAAACGAAAGTTAGCAGTACTGCACATGAATAGAATGCTTAACAAACCCGTTATATGGAAAGTTTACCTGCATGGAAAGCATAACATATTTGCTCAATTTAAACGATATCTGCACAATCTTTGTGCTTTTTGCATATATAACCGATTTTGCTTGCATAGCATTATCTGCTGCATATGTACGCATTGAATAATTGTTTGAAGCCCGTTACAATTTGCATACATGAAACACGGTTCATATTAGCAAGGTAGTTCATGGGACAAAATAGTGTTCAAAACTACTATTGAAAATGATCTGTTCCGATGATGTCAGGAATTGCACCAGAGTGAAACGACCAAGCCTTAGCGTCGTGTTTTTGTCTGTTTTCATGTCACAAAAATGGAATTGTCATACGAGGCGAACACATAATTTTGAATTCCTACAATTAGTATAAATTATATCGCCATGGTAATATCTGTACCTAATGGCAGACGAGAAATACTAGCTGGAAATCAGTACAACTGTAGAATCGCTAAATTCTTTATGTACGTCACATATTAGTAGAGATTCTTACTGTTCCTATTTACCTTGCAGTCAAAAATCAGTCAGTGCAAAAAAAGACGTTTTAACTCTAACTCTAGTCCGGTATCGCGACTACGCAAACTATACAGAATAAGTGTAAATTTGGGCTGCTAACTCACAAGTGTAATATCACTGCATTAATAACCTCTGTGGAACTGAAGAACTTTTCTGCTCCGCTGCTACACATGAACACCGGATAGTCCTTCGAAAAGATTGCACAGTTCCATAATAGGCTTAAAACGGCAAAGATGCCGTCCAAAAGTCATATGGCAATGTAGTACTTAATATGTTAGGATGATCCTAAGGAGTAACACTGTGCTATTAGGATACAAACATAACATAAAAGAAACAGTTTACTTTGCACACAATTTGTGAAAAGGCAGGAAACGTCATTAGCATCTAATGACTGAATGCTTCATTTCCTACGCCTTCTGCAGCGTACTGGCAATGAACTGTGGACGTAAACTTCGAGACCAACCACGGCAGCGGGAGATCCATTTTCAGTCCAGTCATTGAAAGAAGCGAGTGAATAAGCCGGCTTTACTGATTCAAGATTTCTGCTTTCACCTCCGTCCTGCTGATGGGCCGTGGCGCTCTCCGAATGGCCTAACAAATGCACGCCATGTTATTCAGTTTCACAAGTAAATTGATAAAACAAAATAAATCACCTCTTGTTTCCTCGATAGATGAACATCTTTCACCAGCTGGAGATGAATCACGAATCACTGCATTGAGGTTCGACGTGCATGGCTGAGTTTTCGAATATCCATCCAAAGAAGCAACTTTACCTAAAGCACGCTTTAATCACAAAGCGCTTGCCACATTTTTACCACAGTGAACAGGAGCAATTATTTTCATCATAAACTGTCAGCCATAAGACTAAACAGCCTGAGCCTTACGATGATTTGTGTCACTGTCAACAAGCCATCAATCACGCCCTTGTTCCGACGCACATTTTAAACCTAATTACAAAAAAACCTATTCCGGAAAGCAATACAATAATTCTATAATCATATCAAAATTTATGATCCCGGATTTTAACGGCGAAAGCGTACAATGTATGTAAAACATACAAATTAAAACTTAGAAAAATGCATTTCTTTACACCATTCAAAAATACATACATTACACAACACTTGTGGTAGTTTAAGAGAAATGAAAATCTCACACCTGGTAGTACCGCATTATTGCACCGTCCCCTAGCCTCTAGTCGCCCAGAAAAAAATAAGGCCGCATGGTATTTAAACGCCTGCAGCGCATATGATGCAAGACCATGTCTCTCAACTGGGTTGAACAAATGAATGTTCTGACCCAAGCGCCACGATCCGCGGACGAAAACAAATCCAAAATATAACCCTGACTAATATAATAGACTCCATGAGTGAAGCGTTCGATAAGGCCGTCGATAGATAATATAAATCTTTATGACCCCGGATTTTAACGGCGAAAAACATACGGTGTAAAGAAAGAAAAATAAATTTCTTACACTTTACCGATACTGCGGAAGTGTAAGATAGACGAAAATCTCATCTGGTAGTATACTACATTATTGTTTTACTGCAGTCCTGTTATGTAACATGTTTTGTTTGTTCAGCTGCGATACTTCATTTGATATATTTGATATATATTTTCCTACTTGGCAAACTTTCTATTCTTCTGTGTGCATGTTAACAAACTTTCACGATTTTCGTTGCGTTAGTTCAACAGAGCTCCCACAGGCGATGTCATTCTCGTGGAGGCTTTTCTGACGTGCTACGCGCTGTCTGCCTCCTCCGTTCAGAACGAATAGCGACTCCTCTGCTGACTGGTATCTTCATCGTCGTTCTGCCTATCTTCGTCAGCCGTTGTTGTGCTGCTACACCTTCCCCCCTCCCCGGCTGGCAGAGGGCGATGAGCAGGTTCTGATCGCCGACTTTTCGCAGTCTGCCTCTGTCCCCCAACAGCCTGCGTGGTCTTTGGTAACCTGGGCGACAACTGAGCCGGTATGATTTTCGATGGCGTCAATACCATGAATGGCATTTGGCAAACTTCTACGGAAACTTCGCCACGGTCTCCAACTCTCCTCCTGTCTCAACGGGGCTTGGAACCGGCAACGGCGGAGTCTCGACATGGTCCGGAGTAGTGACTTCCGGAAGAGCCTTGGTATACAGCCTCTGCTTCTCCAGATTGAGATGTCACAGCTGCGATGACTTGGGCATGTGTTGCGAATGCCTCAAGAAAGGAAGATTAAGCAACTGTTCCTTGCAAATCCGACCTGCAGAAGACCCAAAGGACGGCCAAAATTAGCCTGGTGCAAATATATGGAAGAAGTCTGTTCCAGACTCCAGCTGTCTTCTGCCGAAGCTCAGACTCTGGCAAGGAATCGAGAACGTTGGAAGCACTGTCTGACTCGTCTGCCTCCGCGACCCGAAAGGAGAAACGGAGAAGGAAGAAAAACGAATGAATGGTTCAAGAAATCAGCTTCCAAGCATAAGCAAATCCAGAATTGATTTAAGACTATTCCTGCAATGCAGCGTTGCACTGTAGATCAACTATGACAGTTGTTGTTAGAGTCTTCAGGTATTTGGAAAACGAAAGAAAACTAAGTGTCAATAGTCTGATCACAAGGCCCTTTTGCTTTATGTCAACTTTTCTCATTACTTCTGCACCCAGTAAGATTTCTGGTTGTAGTTTGTAATGAGACTATATTAAACCGATACAACTGTCAGTGTTACAAAGAAAAAGCTTGCTTGATCGATTTATCCTGTTACGCTGAAATAAAGGATTCATCGGGTAATGTAATTTAATCCAAATAGTCTAATATTAATTTGTATTTATCGATTCATTTGAAACAGCACCTTGACAGATGCGATAACTTCATTATTGTACTTAAACGAAACTAGCTATGATATCAAAATGCCTTTGAACTGTTTAAGGCCCGCCGCCATCCCTTATTTGGCGCCAATTATTAGAAATAGATTCAATTCTAAATAACTTAATAGTATAATATGACACGGGTTGAGCAAATTCGAAATTCCGTGACAGCTTCGAGAGGTGTATCGCCGTTTGAATGATAATATACCAGACAGTGGTCTGTCACCATGCGACAATTCACAATCTAACTGACGATCTTCACAAGGAACAACATAGCACTAAACTTCGACTGAATACTAACGTGTTCGATTTGCACAACACGAAAATCAAAACAACAGTTGTCGTTGTTATTTCATATGCATCAAAAGCTAGCAAAGCGCTTAAACAACAGAGTAATCCAGATTTATTATTTCTTAACTTTGGAAATGGTATCTAAAAACCATGTAACCACCAAAAATGAACGTGTCTACTAAATGTACTATATGCAAATTTGTGTAGGTGCACCAAATGTGCGGGATATAAAACAGCTTCGATTATTTGCATGGCGATTAATTTTAAAAAGTTAAATGCCCATCAGGTTAAAAAGAATGTTTACAGAACATTAGTAAGATCCTGTGCTTCTGTATAGAATGGAATATTAGTCACACTATAGCTGCATGAGAACAATTGAACCGCATGTAAATATTAATGCTCGGATGGGTATGTCGTGCCAGCGAAAAGGAGCACATTGGTATAGTCCCAAAAATAAACCGCGGAGGAGAGTTTGCAAAAAATAAGATTCAAACACTGTCAGTAACAGGAAGAAGAAACGGAAGATCAAAATAGCGTGATGCATTTTTACAAAGAACGATATGAATCTGTGAAGAGTGACAGATGATTTAATAAAGGATAGAAAATATGCAGAGAGTATTGATTTGAACAGCGAACATGTGTGAAACGAATACGTAAGGACGAATTTGTACAGAAATTCAAGTAATCTAAAATCCCATGCACTTTTTGATCACGTGTCTTTTTCAAGCAACCAAGAAATACTGACTTCCATCTGAGTGTAACAGCACGCTTTTGTCTATGTATGAAATCTTAGTGACAACTAGTGCCGCCATGAAAATCGTCCGTGTTTCCGTTCATAAATAAACATAAGCCAACTCTTCTTTCCAGCATCGACTGAAGCAAACATCTATTGCAGACTAACAAGTAAGAGAGTAATGAGAGTACGGTTTCTGTTTCCGCTTCGCCCATCTTCTAGTACTAGTTATCTATGAGTACTGGTAACGGACAATTTCTTAACGTAGAGCGTATGCAACGCGTTTATGACCAGCGACCTGAGAAAACTCTTACAAGGGCTGACAGACAGATCAAAACCTGGCCTACTTTGATAGAATCAGACAAAAATGAATATTAAGTAGGCATGGACAGAGCATTATATAAACTTGGGGCAACACAGAAACCTCATAACTTGCCCGAACTCTGATGAAAATTCTATTCGGCTCATAGCGGTGAGCGCAGGGTGCCACTGACTTATCATACATTAATTTGTGCGCTTTGTCACTCTAAAGTCTAGAGCTGTTTGTACTGAAACAAACATGACCACAAAGAAACCGCAAATATTTTCTAAGCTGAAGAACACATTGTAGCGCAGACCGACAAAGAACAGCCTCTTAAAATTTTGGAAAGAACTTTGACAGATTCGCAAAACTATAAAATGAGTCATCTCTGTGAACAACAGACAGGGTGAGCAGCGGGATATTGGGTTTCTGTGAAACTGCATTGGAAAAGTAATGTGCGTCAGTCGGAATGTGTGCAACAGTAGTCAGAGAGACGTCTAAATGAGGCAAACTCTCTTGCAACGAGGAATATCATGAGTTTTGCCGCGGCAGCCAACGTTGCCTGATATTAATATGAAACCTGATCTCTAACAATCAGACGCCACAAACGTGAGATATTCTGGTCTTAAAGTTTTGTTAGTCGTAGATTACAACAACAACAACAACGAACACGTTGTACTTATAACCGGCTACGATTCAATATTTAGTTATTTGCATATCTGTACCTGGTACCTCTTCGCAGCATGGCATGATATTCAACAAAACCTGTGGTCGCTTAAGATCATTTGGCTTGACTCTGGTGCAGTGGTTCATCAGATGCTGCGCGACGTCGCTAGGAGAGAAAAATGCCGCATTGCACAGATGGCAATAAAAGCGCACGAAGTTGAGATGGGAACAGCAGTGACGACCTGTATCACCTTCGGACGTAAACTTGGAATGACAGAGAAGACACTGATGGTTTTCAAGATCAGCAATTTTTAGGAATTCTTTATATTGGACACCGTTAAAGACGACTGGCAACTTGTCCATATCTTCTGGGTCAATTCGTTTCCAGCTAGTAGTGACTTTTGATTTCCAGAGAAACGCATGAAAGGCCGATCTTACATCCTCTGCAGTCTCTGTTTTGCTGTTGCTTTCTGACTTAGCGTCTGCTTCAGTTTTTCGATTTTTAACTGGTGACTTCGTTCGCCCTCCTTGGAACCCGGAACATGTGTTTAAGGACTCCTCCTCCCCGTTATAAATGAACACTTGAACGCCTCTTTCTCGTTCTCGAGACTGTTCCTCATTTACAGACGCATCGTGAATAAGCCTTGACTGCACTGACGTTTCTGAATCTATCTGATGTTCGTTCATGTCTTCTGAGTCTGTGTTTGCCAGATCCTGTATCGCCTTTCTCCATGAATTCCAGTCTAATCTGGCTTTGGTACGGTTGCGAGTTTTATTACTTTGAAAATACTTTTCCAGTCTTTTGCTCGGTGGTTCACAACTGGTCTCCGTCGTAGTGGTATTTGTACCACGGTCCTGCGAATGATCCCGTACCGCGCTATCGTCACAGAAGCTGTTTGGCCGTTTCAGAGACGGCCTATCCATCGCTGCTGTGTTAGTATCCGATATCGGTAAATGATACAGTGTACTCACTGGCTTCTCACTGCGAGACGGCGTCATACGCGGAAGCGAAAAATTCTTTGTAGGCGAGACAGACGGCTGCGACATTCTTGGGGTAGTTGAATTCAAGTCATCGTTCGTCACTGTCGCAACTTGGCACCTCGGTGTAGAGTTAGCGAAATCTTTCTGGCAAGATTCTTTGTCACTGTCATCCACTCTGAACGAAGGGGACATCACCAGGACATTATTAACCGATGGTGGTTTGTTGGCATCGTTTCGCACAACAGAGGGGCGCAATTGATCTGCAGTCGTTGCTGCATCAGAGTCAGTGGTGGTAGTAGTTTTCGCATTTTTGACCGTCGAATGCGTCATCACCTCAGACTCTGATGACTTAGAAAAAACATTATCTTGCATACCGTTCATTTTTATCGTCGATATCAAACGGTCATTTTTTGGAGCGGGTCGATTAGACAATCGCTTCTTAGAATTAAACAGCGCTTTCAAATCAGGCATATTTCTAGTCAACCTCAAACCGTTCTTGTTCCTGTCATCTTCTTCCCCGCAGCACTGTTTGATCAGTTCATTGTTGTAACGTTCTTCGACCATTCGGTGACGGGATCGGAGATGATTTGAAAGGGACTTCAAACCAAGAGCTACCTTGCCGCACAGACTGCAAGTCTGGTGACCGGGTGGTAGTAATTCCTGATGTGCGTAACTTAGATGGTATGCCAGAATTTCAAAGCGACTGAAACTGCGCATACACCACGGTACCACACACCTCTTCTCTCTAATGTCGCACATCCTGTTTGCTTTCAACAGACTAGCAATAAACATTTCCTGAGGACTTTCCACTTCGACCACCTGCAGCGGGGGCCCCAACTCCTCTGACGAAATATCTCTCTCTTTGTATGCTGTACGCCTGAGAGCTCGGCTCCTTACAGATTTTGCAGAATCATCGATCGACGCCTTTGGTGTCACTCCGTGCTCAGACCACGCTTGACTATTATCTGAGGAAGCACAGCGACCCTTCACGTTCAGCTTCGAAGAACCGTCGGTATCCTTCGTCGTGTTCCTTGCAGGATTGGTTGCATTAGCTCTAGCGACAGGCGTCATGTTGGCAGATCGTCGACA